TGATGGTAAATTGGTGGCACAAAGCATAGTAGGTCTTGTAAATTCTTCCATTTTTCATACTTCAGACTCATGGGTGAACTATACAGTTTGCTAAGACTAATATTCTGAGGTGTTCTTCCACGCATCTTCTTCATACAGTTAACAGTTATAAATTCAGTCTCTTCATTGAGAGTGTACTTGAATTTCATAGTAAATGGGTCTTTCTTCTCAAACCGAATCCATTTTATTTCTCTCCATTTTATCTGTCTTATTCTCATCATCCTTTTTAATATTTTCCTGCACGTACTCGTTGAAGTTTTCGAGTGAAATGAAGTGCTCCATCTTCATTTCTTCACATTTTAAACTTCTTAGAACTGTTTCTCACAGCATTCATCCACTCACTGGGTACAAAAATATAAGGTACTTGCTTTTTGTACTTTTCAATGACTCCGAAATCTTCATCGCATTCCATGAAGGTATGTCCCGGTTCAAGGAATTTGTGGTCTATTATTTCTAGCTGAGTTTCTTTAACCACATACATAAAAAATTTCACAATATTTTTATTCTTATTTTGTCCCGAACAAGAATCACTAAATGCAATAAGATGTCGTGTATTTTGATTAAGACCAGCAATAAATTTCCAAAGACATGAAGAAACTTCCATAGAGCCTCTGGATGCTACCGATTCATCCCACATATACATTGAAGCACATTTCTTGCCCAAATTATGGATTCCAAAATTATATGTCCATAATACTCGCATATAAAACACTTTGTTGGTTGTAAGTGCTGGTGTAGGTAAAGTTTTTTGTAGATCGAAACAAACTGATACCACTTCTTCATTCCTTGAAGTTTCAGCCACTATTTTTGCCTCTTTTTTGGCTTGTATTCCCGATTCGGCTTTTCGGTGATGAAGCTCTCTCTCGCACATTATTTTCTTTTTATCTGACTCACATATGCACGATTTTATTGATGTTTCGAACTTATCGCACTTATTACAAGTATCGGACAAGGGATGATGAAAACTTAGATTAAATTCGGTATTAAACACTCTCCTGTAGCACCATTCCTTGACAGGAGCTTCGTTATTTTCTTGACAATGCTCTAGGTAACACTTATACATTTTTCTTATGGTCAAAAATGAAGGAAGGTACCGTCTACGGGGATTGTAATGTCTGGTGTAATGGCTGGTATATTTTGGAAACATATCAATATGTCGTTTTACCTTATCAATTACATCCTGTGATAGTTTATTAGGACATGGAGCTCTTCCTCTTTTATCAACAGCGGTGATTCCAACGTCAGATATCCCATTTAAAATTCTCGAATAACGTCCATTGCTGATATCCAAGGTTTTTAAGAAAAACATTTTGCAAACTCTCATATTTTTTAGTTTGATAGTAACGCTCTTTTCTTTATTAGTAACAGCTTCTGTACGTCGTCGTTTGGGCAAAGCGATCTCTGTACAAGACGTAATGAATGCATTCTGCAGATTCCAATTTCCTAGACCACAGAAATGGTTAAATATTTCCTGTCTTTGTTCATCGGTGAATTTTTGACACTGAAATCTACAAGTATGTATATAATTTTGCAAACTTCTTGCTTTTACTAACTTGTTTTTATAGCCTACGTATTCCTCACCTGCATTTCTTTTTCGTTTTCTTACTTGTCTCTTATCTAAATCGCTATATCTCAAACGTTTTTTGCCCTTTTTCTTTAATGACTTGTTTAAATGAACATCTGCAATGTTTTGTAGATCATGATTACTATCGCTACTACTTTCTTCTATTGGATTATAGTTTCTGTCCTCTTCTGAATCGTCATATTCCGAATAACTGTCAGATTCTGAAACAAAAAAGAAACATTTTAAGGTTATGCTATAAGTTTCTTTCAACTACTACTTTTTGAAGACATAGATAAATAAAATAACCCTATAAAATAACAATTGAAAAAATATAAAACGCATTGAAGACTTACCTTGCATTATTTTAAGGCTATTTCACAAATTGTATTAATATTCCTGCACACTTTTAAAACGTGGCTGTCACAAACAACTACATAAGGTTTAGAACAAAAGTGGGACATGTACGCTTGGACCACTTATACAGAAAACCATTACCAGAAATTGGTGAGAGCTTTTACTTCTCACATACAGATGTCCGTACTGTAGTGTGTTTTGTACTTGTACCATTTTTATATTAATAAATCTCAACATCCTCTAGCCACTCATGCACATATCTCACTTTTATACAAAATGTCACTTGTACCACTTTTCCTCTCAGCCCCTCAATTGTCTTAAGTTGAATGTTATGTAAACGTCTTATAAGTACAATTTAAATGCAACAATTTAAGTTATTTACTATCTTTAAACCACACTTTTAGTTGAAAACACTTTAACTAAACGTCAAAATAAATCATTAAAGATAGTAAATCAAATAAAAATGCCACAAGAACATAGATTCAGAACCACAACAATTTAATTATTTAAACTGTTGAAAATCGTGGTTGTAGATCGCTTCAGGTGAACTTTCGTGAAGGTCGTCCAAAGAGTTACTATTGATAAAGAAAAGGTTGCAAATGATATCGTAAAATAAGAAATCGTTACCATATTAGAAGAAAAATATGGTGGACTTCAAGTAAAGAGGAATATATTACAGAACGTTTTCTTCTCTTCTTATGGTGCCCTATCCAATTAGTGGATGCTGGCGACGATTCTGGCATACTCCTCTCGATCTTGTGTGGCTCTAAAGAGTGCATTGTCATCGAGGTTTGTCCAATCCCTTATGTTTTTAAGCCATGAGTATTTCTTTCTTCCGATGCCCCGTTTTCTTTCTATCTTCCCTTCCATAATAAGCTTTAAGAACTGCTACTTGGAACTTTGAAATATATCACCCAGATAAGCAGTTTTTTTCTTTTTATTATTGGCAGCAATTCTCGGTCTCTGTCCATTAGATTTAATACTTTGACATTTGTTGTGTGATATGTCCAGGGAATTTTAAGTAGTCTTCAAATTACTAATAGTTTGTCCGTTGATTTTGATTTCATCTTCAGCGTCACTTAAGGCTCTATCGAAAATCGTTTCAGAGTAAAGATTAAAAAGGAGTGGTGACAAAACATAACCCTGTCGTACACCTTTTTCGATTGAGAAATATGATGTAGATTCCAGTCCTACTCTCACAGATGCTACTTGATTCATATAAAGGTTTACATAATCGAACGCTTTCTGGTACTTCTCTTGTGCCAAATCCTTGTCTGAAATCGAATTGTGTGGGGCTAATGTCTCTTTCATATCTGTTGTATATTCTTGTGTGAATTATCTTTAAGAAGTTTAAGATTTTTAAGACTTAACTCAATAAGCTGATCATTCGGAATTGGTCGCAACTATTAGCGTTTGGCTTTTTTGGGATTGGTATAAAGGTTGATTAAAGCCAATCCTGTGGTTTTTGACCGGACTCATAAATGTCATTAAAAAGATCTACCAAGGCGTCTATATTGTCTTCACCCAACATTGTTAGAACCTCTACGTATATTTCGTCTGGACCTGGTGCTTTTCCCCATTTGTTCTGTTTGATTGCTCTTACAACTTCTGACTTCAATATTTTGGGGAGGGTTCACTTTTATATTCAATTTCATAGTTTCTTCTAGTGTTGTCTGAATATCGTTGCTGTGTCTAGTTTCTCCAATGTTGAAGTAGATCCTTGGGATCAGTAAGTAATTTATTGTCCTTCACAACACTGTTAAAACTGGAAGTTTTTATATGACCTGTCACTTCTTTAATGAGTTTATGTATGTTAAAGTGGTCATTTTTTTCTTCCAATTCCTCAATTTCTGCACACCTCTCTAGTAGCCACTGTTCTTTAGCTTTGCGACACTCTTTGCGTATTTGTCGGTTAATCTGCTGATGTTTGGTTCGGTCTTTGTTTTTAAATGATCTGCGGTCGTCCATCATTGATAATATTTCGTCAGTCATCCAATTCTTCTTTTTGTACTTTGGGGAAGCGATAAGAGACTTGGTGGTGTTTAGAAAACAACAAAAAAACGTTTAGTAAACAATATTAAGTGCAGTAAAATCAAGAATAAGAGCAATAAAATTGTAGTTGGCTTATTATATGGATGTCTATATACATACCGGACCAAAAGTCTGGGAATACCTAATTATCTCATATATGGATGGTCCTAATTATACAAAAACAGGGATACACCTATTTTGGAATATAAATATTTCTTAATACTTTTCAATAAACGTCAAACTATTGTTAGTTTTATGAATTAATGTTTATTAACATACTATATTTACTGAATTATTTCAAAACTATTTGGCACTGAGAAGTTTTATTTACAGTGGAACTTGGTTACAGCGTCATTAAAGGGTCCAGTAAAAAAATGAAGCTATATCAGAGTGACGTTATAAAAGAGATAGAAAAAAATGAAATTTTAACGAGGCAAAATTTTACTACAGCTGCATTTTGGATAAAAAAATTTAGAAATAAGACATATCATGTATATGAAACTTACATTTTTTATGAAAAAGTTCTCTAATGCGGAAAAAAGTCAGTTATTTTCAGTTCAGGGGTTCTTCATTGTCCATACAAAAATCATCCTTTTCAAAAGCTGTTTTCGATAATGGCAATTTAAGCTTCTTCTGACTCCTTGGTCCATATGCTGCAAGTGCAGTTGGCTTGTAAGAAAACTAGGTTGATACTGGTCAAATTAAGCTTGAGATGGGCTGCACAGTTGTCAACTAAGAGAAGAATTTTTCTTTTTTTTTTTAAGAGAAATCGACACGTCCATTAACGATTATAGCTGAACTCGTAGAATTTTTAGTTAGTTCTTTTGTTCCATTGCCTTTAACCAAGTTATTAACAGTCTAGTGGCTTCAATTACTGTTTTTTTAAATAAAAATATATGTTATTTAGTAGCTAAATATTCGAATTTCACTGTTCTAATTTTGATTAATCGAACACACCTTGTTTAATCTTTGTAATATCGTTTTTTAGAGTGTGGAATTCACTTTCAAATACATGCAGCGTTGTTTAAACCTCGCCTTGGATATCAAACCTGTGAAGACTGTCTCGGCAGCGTATTTGCTTCAAGTTTGCGCAAAATCGCCGTTTTTCTACGACGTTGTACAGTACGATAAAGAAACGAGGGAACAAGATCACGATCCCACTTTGGATATGCTGGTTGTTTTAACGGGGAAGCTAATCACTCAAACGAACATCGAACAAGACGTCGTTAATAAAAAAGTTTGTTGCTATGGGTTGTTTTTGAGCATCAGACATATTTTGCAGTCCAGAGATATAAGGTAAGTTCATTAGGATGGAATTGCTTCATATAATTAACCAGGAATGAGCAATACGCGGCCAGCGGGCCGTTTGCGGTCTATTAAACATGTTTATGCGGCCCGCCAAGCATTTCTATAATTGAATTTATTTTATAGACTTTCTCCCGTCAATATATTGTTATAAAATATAAATACAACCGAATATAAAATAAAAACTAATACTATAAATTACACTAATATTATAAATTAATATATTATATCAAAAATTAATAAAATATGTAGTTGTTCGTTATATTTTTATCTATGTAGTTATAATATTTAATATTTTTTAAGACAGACACAATGCAAATAGGAACAGTAAAAGAGAAATAGAGGAATATCATAATAATTGAGAATAAGCACGACAGCGCTCCTAACTTCGGCTGGCATCGGCTATAAACGCTTGTAGTCGTGAATATTAATCCGCACTCGCTGTCCCATCGAGCAAAAAGACAAAAGAGGGAATCTAATCCTTATGAAAAGGAGACCAAAAAAGTGGCCTCTGATGGCGGACATATCCGGAAATGCGAATGCGCCAAATTTAAATTTTCCGACACTTATTAACAATAGCTATATAAATCAAAAACTCAATATACACATCCTCTCCCTAAAACCAACCAACCAATTACACTACCCATCTCCATAACCACCAAACACCACCTCCCCCCCCACCCCCTACCACCCCCCCCCCCCCCCACCCCCCCACCCCCCCCTACCCCCTTCACCCACCACCCACCCCCCCCCCCCCCCCCCCCCCCAACCCCCCCCCCCCCCAACCCCCCCCCACCCCCCCACCCAATACCCCCCACATCCCCCCCCCCCCCCCCCCCCCCCCCCCCCCCACCCCACCCCCCCCCCCACCCCCTCCAACCCCCCCCCCCCCCCCCCACACCACCCCCCCCCCCCCCCCTCCACCCCCACCCCCCCCCCCCCCCCCCCACCCCCCCCCCCCCCCTCCCCCCCCCCCCCACCACCCCCCCTCCCCCCCCCCCCCTATCCCCCCCACCCCCCCCCCCATCCGACTCCCCCCCACCCCCCCCCCCCCCCCCCCGGCCCCCCCCCCCCCCACACCCCCACCTCGCCCAACCCCCTACCCCCCCCCCACCCCCCCCCCACCTTCCCTTTGTGTTTCTTGAAAGGCTTGAGTGAATATTATTGTCAAAAAGTAATATGTATTAGAGTTTTTTATTCAGATTTAATTTTCTTTTTAACTTTAAAAGAACGGCAAAAAAACGGAAGGTTGCAGATGAGCATAGGCATTTACAAGAACAGGGGAAATTTGATTATTTTTTCACTTTCGTGAAAGATAAAGCTGTATGCTTATATGCTCGGAGACTCTTCAGACATTAAAAGAATATTACATAAAAAAGCATTACGATACAAAATATGAACAACAATATAAAAACCTAAGTAAAGGCTAGTTTTGTTGTCAGTCAAATATTGGCAGGAAAAATGAAAACCTTTGTGGATGGAGAGATGATCAAAGAATGTCTGACAGCTGTTGCAGAAATAGCATTTCCTGATAAAATAAATATTAAACTTGACGGTAAACAAGCAACTAACTGATGAAATATAAATTAATTAATTTCCTATAGTGGTGTCAGTTGGACCTTTGGTCAATACTTAGTTTCATAGAATTTTGAAAGGTGCAGATCACATAACTGCCCTTCACAAGCCGTCATTTGTCACATGTCATCTCAATATTTCCGTGCGGGAGCCCATTCTGTCTCGGCTTCTATACAACATGTAGCTTCTCCTTTTCAAAAAAAAAAATTTAAAGTGTTTGTTTGTCTTTGTGTATTGTATTGTTTTGTCCAAATTTACATTTATGACATTCTACTCATGTCGGATAGGCCACAACTGACGAAGTAAGTCTATAAACGTTTATCACATATAAAATTTTTTCAACCATAAACTTGGAGTTTTTTATCCAAGTGAATTAATTTTCCTTTTTTATAAAAAACGTTTCTTGGCTTATTTCAGATGCCCCTGAAGATGATCTATTGATCGAAAGTACTTGGGCAAGATTAAATTAATCACCGTGTTCGATAGTTGTCTTGTATACCGTCAAAGTTTAATTATTCGAACATTCAACCTTATATTAAAATAAATATTATTTCAAACATTGGTTTATCAAGATTCATCATTGTAAGGAGAATTTTGAAGACTTCCGAGAGCATAGCAACAACGCTTCGTGAACGCATTGTAAATTCGAATATTGTTTTTTTTTTTTTTGACACTTGATGAGAGTTGCGATATTAGCGGTACAACTCAACTGGCTATATTTTTACGTGGTATTGACACCAAATAATATTACCGAAGAATTGTGTTCACTGATTCCAATGCAAGGGACTACAATCGGCAAAGACCTGTACCTGAAAGAATTAGAAACTGAAAGTGCAATGTTAAAAAGAGTATACAACTTAAAAAGCAAAACAAACTGCGTACATGTAGCTACCTCATCAATTCCAGCTGATATTGATCAGCTTGTATTGAAAAAACATTGCCAAATTTCTCATTAAAAATTTCAAATAAATTGGTTTTTCTGTTCCTTTCTTGTTTGTTTTTATTTTGTATTAAAATTTGGATGAAACCTTTATTTCATATTTTTTTATTCAAATGTTTGTTATAAATAAAGTATTGGTAATTATTAATAGTGCAATAAGTGTTACTTTATGTGTGGCCCGTCAAAAAATTAGAAAATTTAAATTGGCTCGTTGTTTAAAAAGTTGCTCACCCCTGAAACCATTTCAATTTGCGTCCGACTCCAGGTGAAAATATGTCATTTCGCACACCTCAAGATAAAAAAAATACTAATTTTCCTATACGTTAATATACAGTGCGTTAAGTTTTTGATTAGGTATTGCACACTATACGGAGCGCTAAAATCGGCAACGTTGCAAATGTTCGTTCTCCGACCCGAGACTATCTCAGTATCTACACCGACAGAAAATCATTTATTTTAGTTTAGTAACTCACAACAACGTTTGGGATGTACTTCACTGTCGTCCGATCTCATGTTTCATTACGTATAGCCGATTTTAATAGTAGGAAATTCGATAAAATGCTATGACCTAATCGGTGCATTGTTATCGATTTTTATTAATGTGAAAATTTTTTTGTGGTTGAATTAAAAATAAAAGCGTATTTCTTTAAAAAGATAAAATAAAAAATATACTCTTATTGAAAATTAAAATAGTATTCCTAATAAAATAAAAAATAATTCTTTATGACCTACAGAAATGGTTCAAATAGTTGACCTTCTACGGCTGAACAGTACCCCAATCTGTCATAAAAACTTCTGCGAGCAGATGAAAGAGTTTCTGCTGTAACAGAATTGGAGACTTCTCTTATTCGATTTTTTAATTCATCCAAATTTTGGGCTCTAGCCTCAGGATAAGCGTAGGTAATTCTTTTTTAAATGTCCCCAAAAAAAGAAGTCCATGGGTGTAAGATCTGGAGATCGCGCAGGCCACTTAATATCGCCTGTTCCGCTGATAACTCGATTCGGGAAAGTATTGTTTAAATACTCCCTAATAATTCGAGCGTTGTGAACTGAACAGCCGTCTTGATGAAACCAAACATTCTCCAGATTTACATCAGGAAGATTGAGAATAGCGGGAAGAACATGATTCTGTAACAAATCGAGGTATACTCTACTATTCAAGTTGCCCTCAATAAAAAATGGACCTATTAGGTGGTCTCCTAAAATGCCAGTCCAGACGTTAACTTTTTGAGGACGTTGAGTTCGGTAAACAACACTTCTGAGCTGGTTTTCCCCGCGCCCAATACTCATAATGGAAGGATTGTGTCTCCCTACTAACGAAACAGAAGATTCATCAGTGAATAAAATGTTTTTAATAAAATTTGGTTCACTATTAGCCTTCGTTATTAGAGTTTCACAAAACCATTCTTCGAAAGTAATCGTCTGGATAAAGCTGCTGCGTTTTCGAATATTTAAAATTCTTGTAACCGTGCTTTTTCCATACTTTCGTAACAGCATCTAACTCTCTAGCAACGCTTCTATTGAACGTGTTGAATCTACCTCGATTGTTGCACAAAATTTGTGTATCCCGGTATTCTCTTTCCTCAACTTTTTTGGTAACACTTCTTGAGCGTGACATTTTCTGCAATTTTTGAGGCAATAACAACTCTCAATTTTTTAACAATATTATAAATTGACTGTACACAAGGAATTGGTCTTCCCTCAAAAAACACAGAAAATAAATCTACACACTGTTGCGCAGAATTGCCACTATAAAACCATTTTATTATTTGAGCTTTTTCCGCGGCCATATAAACAGACATGTTTACAAAAATAAATTAAAACTCTACGCTGTTATTCCTTTAAACAACCACGGTATAATGACAATTATGACAAATTTGCCGACGGGCGACGAGCAACGACGAGTCAACGAAGCAGATTTATGTAGTGCAAGTCGACGACGCGCAGTGTTGCCATTTATAGAGTGTATACCTAATCCAAAACTTAACACACTGTATGCCTCACTACTGAGCTACAAGGTGTTTCATTTAATAATCTAAATATGATTTTTATTTTGCAAAGTTTTTTTTTGCTTACAAGCGTTTTTATTGATTTCCAGGAAAAACAACAAGGAATACGCGGGCCTCTTCTATCATCTCACCTCTTTGTGCCTTAAACTCAAAGATCACTTAATGCCGATAGTGTGCAATCCGTCTCCAGAAGGCTATATACCCGATTCCTTCGAAATAATAAACGAATCTGACGAATCTACCAAAGCACAGATGGTTCTTGTGTATGCTTGGAGATCGATGAAGGAAATGACACTATTGTTGGCTGAACTCATCAGACAAACGATCAAATTGGAGCAAGAGTGCGTAACTTTGCCGCTCAGTGTCATGATAAAAATTGGAGAGTTCTTTTGGGATGTTTTTATAACTAGTAAACATAAGGGAGTCTTTGAGCAAGCTTATGTTGGTTTTTGTGTGATATGTGATTCGTTTTGGAGGTAAGTGATACTAAATATATAATATTGGCATTAGAAAACTATTTTTTCTGAGATCTGTGCGCCATATGTCGATACTGGTCTTTTTTCGTAAATTAGTAGTTTGTTATCAATATGGATAATTTAGAATTCCTTCGAAGCATCCAGTACATCGTTCTAAATTTGATGGTTTCCTCTGTCTACTTTGGATATGGACTTTCCAATATGGGCTTTCCAAGGCAGACTCTTGTCAGTCCGAATGTAATCCCAGGTATTTTGCAGAATCTGCAACAAGGTCATCGCCCTCTTTTATAGGTGAAATTGACATGCATTAAAATTCTCTATTTTTTTATCAAATGATTGATTTTTCACTGAGGTAGACTTTTCAGCAAAGATAATTGTGTCCGTCTCACACTTGTTCTGCCCTCCCTATTTGCCTTGGATTATTGCTCGCAGTGTTTGCCTACTCGCGCAAATAAGTGATTACATTTCCATTTGCTAGTTACTTTCTGTAATACATGCTCCAACATAAAATTGTAATTTCATTTATTGCAGCTCCATCTATAGTCTGGATCAAACACTTCTGACTATGACTCTGACTTCTGACTACATACAGTTAAATATGGTTTGATTTTGATCGACCTTGTTTATGAATTTTATTAAATTACTGACAAATGCATACAATGACACATATATTTTCCAAGTTAGGGTATATAAGCGAATAACTACTTTAATTGCGATTTTTTTCAATGTTTCTGTATAAGATAGTCAGAAATAGACTGATTGAATTTTATGTTTTTATGGTTATAGTCATAATAACACATATTTTTAACATATTTTAAGATCGTCTAATCAACTTTTGAATCACCTTCCTCCACTTTGGCTTGAAGACGCCTTGATGTTATGTACTGGAGCCAAACAGTCTGACAAATTGTGTGCAACAAGGAGAAGTGCCGGACTTCCCTTTTTGATACTCGTAAGTTTTGTTTTACTGTTAATTAAATATGTTATTATACATTATAGCGTTCCTTCTGGACCGAAAGTGACGTCACACGTCGATCTTCAAGCGTACGTGTCCTCATGTATCAAAGGCACGCCCCTCGTGACGTAGGAACGTGCCTCGTGTCTCGAGGCCACGCCCCTCGGCCAATGGTGACGTAGGAACGTGCCAATGATGGCATAGGAATGTCCCCCATGTCTTGCTGCCATTGGTCGACGACACGTTCCGACGTCCGAGGTTTCCGTCATCATTGGCCGAGGGGCGTGGCCTAGAGACACGAGGCACGTTCCTACGTCACCATTGGCCGATGGGCGTGGTCTCGAGACACGAGGTACGTTCCTACGTCACGAAGGGGGCGTGGCTTTGATACATGAGGATACCTACTCTTTACGATCGACGTGTGACGTCATTTCCGGTCCAGAAGGAACACTATACATCTACTCAGTACACTAAGTATTAGAGAAAACGGGTCGCTCGAAAAATTTAGGATAGTTTTTTTATGTTTCAAAAACTTAAAAAATCGATGAAGGTTACCACAGTTTGTAATCTATTGCAGCGTTAGCTTTTACGGACATTGTAAATCAAATGGAAAACTAAAAGTTTCAGAATTTAGCCTATGTGTAACCAATTCAAATAAATTATTAAATTTGTTAAGAGTACTGTAAATATAATAATGAAACAGATATTTCATTATCTATAAAAAAAGCAATGATAATTAAATAGAAATTTCGGTATTATGGTAATTAAATACCCATTTAGAGTTTTCCTGATAATACTATCTACTAAATGTTACACGAGTGAGTATTGTAATAAATTAAGAAATAATTTTTGACCTTCTGACCTTGATAAGTGCCTGGGCTGGATACCTCGTATCAGTAAGAGCTATGGTCGTTTTGTCTGGGCTGTGATACACAGCCAAGAATAGCATGCTAGAAGTTATCTAAATCACATTTCTTCACAAACATAATTCAGACCGGCAGAGTCCCACGGGAATCTCAACACTCAAAAGTCATAGCAATACTAAAACCGGGTAAACTAGCTGCTGACCACGCAAAAAGCTATCGACCAATTGCTCTACTGTCTATAATGTATGAATTACTCGAAAGGCTAATTTTTAGCAGAAGAAGACCAATAATCCTCAAAGCTATACCAATTGAGCAAGAACGTTTTAGACCAAAGCACTATTCCTTGCAAATTCACCGCTAGATTAATAGAAAATAGGCTCACCGACAGAGTATTTCAAGTTACTATAGGATCCGAAGTAAGCACCCATAGAAAACTCAAAAATGGTCTGCCACAAGGATCGGTACTCGCACCACTGCTTTTTAGCCTTTACATCGCCGACATGCCGACAACAACATCAACAAAGTTCGGCTATGCTGATGACTGGGCTTTATTAACCCAAACAAAGTCACTAGAAGAAGCTGAAGAGATTCTTACGGAAGACCTAGAGGTTATGGGAAGACCTCAACGTTCACTTTGGTAACACATGACTCAACCACAATAAACATCCAAAATATCTAGGCGCGCCCTTGGACAGAGGTTTAAGCTTTAGGAACATTTAAGTACAGTTGCCGAGATGCTAAAAACCAGAAATAACATCATTCAGAAGTTCTGCGGCAGGGGGGCATCGGCATCCAGACTCAGGTCTTCAGGCTTAGCTCTTGTTTACCTTGTAGCTGAATATTGCGCGCCAATATGGATCAACAGGGCTTACGTTAAAAAGATAGACGTCCGGCTAAATAAACACCATGAAAATGATCTCTGGAGTAATCAAACCTACACCAACACATTTGGCTACCAGTGCTGAGCGACATTCCACCACAACATCTTCGCCGACTCAATCAAAAGAATGTAACAAGATTCTTAGCCACACGGCGCTGCCGATTCATAATTATATAGAAGATGGAACCAAAAGTTGACTGCGTTTCAGAAAATCTCCAATACAAACTGCAGAATCAACCGCAGCCACAGGGTTCAACATGATCACCAAATAGATCCATGAATGGTCGGCAGCTTAACCAAATACAGCCATACCTTGCATCACAGAGACACCTGGATTTACCTACCACGTAAGATATTATACTGATTAATAGCTATATTCACATCACCAAGATACCTGACGAGGATACGAAGTGCTCGGTAACGGTATTAAGTGCTGCTAATGCACTTGAAAGGTTTTGAAGAGGTTTGTATTCAAAAAATAGATTAACCTGTTCGAATTCCTGATATTAGTCGTATTCACCACATTTGGAACTAGTTCAAATCGAGTAAAAGTCGTGGAGGGCTTGGATCGGATTTATTTGCAGGATAAACAATTTTTTTGGAAAGGAAAGAAATGTTCTGTACCTGCTGATTTATATATCAACTCAAGGGAGTGGGGGAGTGATGAATAAACCGACGAATTATAACCCGAAAAAGTAATACTTAGCTTCCAAACGGTACAAATAAAGTAATCTTTTATATTGTTGATATGACTACATTACTTTTAAGAACCCACTGTATTCACCGCTCTAGCCGTTTTTCATTATGGTAAATTTTACCCTTCAGCTTAGATTTAGAACAACAAAATTAATCCTTCGATAAAATGCTATTATATTCTCTGGCCTGGCCAACACCATTATACTCACCATATTTTTAGATCAAATATACCAATGTTTACTGTAATTTACATGTTGTTAAACCTTATTTGATAATGCATTTCGCTGCTTCAAATTTTGTTTCAATAATGTTATTTATGCGCAAGGATCGAGCCAATAATCTATATCGAATATTTCCATTTTTAGTCTATTATCGGTTCTGAACCAGTTTTCGACAAAAACAGATTCCACTTCTCTATAACGCTACTTCTGGACGCCTGTAAGAACACTGAAACGGAAAATGACGAACATAGGATGCATTGTATGAATGTTTTGCGTGCCATGTTCCGTCACAGCCGACTGGGGGAAATGGTCACGGCCTATATCGCACAGGGAGTCATCGTGGCCATTACTGGATTTCAAAGCGAAACTTGGGGGGTAAGTTCGATTGAATTATCTTGACTTTTTTTAACTATTTTACTTTTAAACTATATTCTTCACAACATTTGGTTATTAAAATGACGATAATTACGTCCTAAAGAAATGTTCAAGAGCTAAAAAAGACTGACAAATGTTCACAAAGGTGTGTCAATAAGTACCCGGACAAACAAGGAGAACTTTTAAAAACGCGTACTGGAACATAAACTGAATTAAAACAGCAGACCAAAATGTAGGTCACGGAAGATAAGAGGAAGTAAACCTGCAACGCACACAAAAATCCTGAAGGGATTCAGAACCCTATGCAGCGACGTCTGACCGCATTTATCCAACTAATAACAATTATGTGATTAATTCTCTCATTCTCTCAACTTAACCTCAAAGTGAAACTTCCCTACTGTTTCTGTGGCTAAATATTCATAATGAACATTTTTTTTAGGTTAGGAACTCAGCAACTCTGTTGTACGCCGCACTGATAACGAGAATGTTCGGAGTACAAAGAACGCAAGACTCCGACGATCTTTCCCTAAAAAATAGGTTAACAGTTCGAGTATTCTTTTTGAGATATCCCGAATTGTTTCAATTTTTGTTAGAAACGTTAACAAACGAGAGTAGTAAAAGCGATAGTCTTCTATTACATCCAGTATTAATGATTTTAGCTAGGTTGTATCCATCACATTTTGAAGAGTATAATACACAGGTAAGTGATCGTTTACATATACATAGTACCAGGTAGTATCTATCATCTATAGGTGCTGCTTTCCCATTTTTTAACCTATGCATACCACCGTGGGGTTAATTAATAGTAAATGGTGTTGCTAAAAAGGTTTGTCGTCTGATTATTTTAGGTTTTGGTTCCTTACTTTGGTCATTAGATCGTCTATTCATCAGCTACTGGGTAATTAATTCGTTTTCTGTAACATTACACAATGGGAGAGTCCACTTTTTATTTCTAGCTTGGCTTAGTTGTTGGAGTAGGACTATTTCATAATCAATATGTTTTCAGCCAAAAAAGGGTCATCGGTATAAACAGTTTTATATTTTTTCATGAGATTTTTGGACACACTGAATATTTCAAAAAAAGACTTAAACTAAAACACGACCTTCTGCCCACTTTGGAGTTTAAGCTTAGACTCGAGATGCACTATAATCTCAACCAAAGAACAGTCCAAACAATGGGTAAAATGTACAATAATTTCTTCGACTTCATATGTCAATTTGAATGGATCCAACTTGTAAATACAATACATTTTGGAGACTAATTTTGGACGTTCTCCTCCGGCAATTCCCCATTCCTTCATTCCATGAGCGTCGAGGTCCACCTCTTTTTCTTCTTCCAGGTTTCCATCTGTGAAGTTTTTGTGGCCAACGTTTGTCAGGCATTCTCAATAGGTGTACAAACCAGTTTAAACCTCTTCTTTCTATTCTAGTACTGCTTCTCAAATAATCCATTTCAACTGCCAACAATCATCTCTTCAGGTCTGCATTAATTGTTGATACTTCAGAGTCATGACAAAGAACTGATTAACCATAGTTTGTCCTATTCTTTTTTTGGTTCCTTTTGGAAATGTTGTGATCCCACCATAAGGAGTTCAAAACATCCCCATACAATTTTACGTCCTTTTTTCCCAAACCGTTCTCTATCAATAAGTGCACTTAAATATTTAAGTTTTCTATTTGTTTGATTTCCACGTCCTTATCTATCAACACTTCAAACCTTACATCTGAATTGATAACTAAATATTCTGTTTTCTTCATGCTGACTTGTAACCTCCATTTTACATATTTTCTGTATAGACGCTGTATCATAAATTCTAGATCATAAGAATCTTGAGCTAGGACGACTTGATCATCCGAAAAGTTCAGGGAGAATAGTATGTCATTTCCTATGGGGATTCCCATTCCCTGGCTTTTCCAATTTGGAAGGTTGCCCCAATATATTAGTAAGGGTGACATACTGCATCCTGGTATTTCATCCTTTAGTTACTTTTATCGGCTCTGATAGTCTATTTCCGATTTTTAGGTAAGTAGTGTTATCCCTGTAACTTCTGTGGTTATTCCTAAAAAGTATGGACTAATGCCGAGTTGTGTATAAAGCTTGCCACAATTTAAGTCTTGGAACTGTATCATAACGCCTTTCTAGCTCGATGAAGGTTAGATGTACTTCGGTACCAACTGCATATTTTTTTTTCTATTAATTGATCGAGTTAAATAAGTTATCAGTGCAAGATCTACTAGGCGTAAATCCACTTTGGTCTTCGCTTATTAGATGTACTACATATCTTGTATTTTTCCATTTATTAACTTTTCAAACAATTAATTACTATTTATAACTGGGAATAAGCCACAAAAAAGATAAAAATACGTTTATTGGGACGTTTCAATTTCCAATTCGGAAATCGTTCTCAAAATACAAACAGTAAATTAAACAAATTTTGTTTTTTGCTACATAGTGAAAAAAAATTCTTCTAATAATTTAATTTTAATCTGACTCATTTATATTGACAATTCAGACATACATTATGCATTTTAAAGTAGACGACTTTAAAATGATATTGCCAATATTGTTGAGTTTGCGCTCCTGGGACGACTTTACTTATAAGATAGTTCATATCGATTACATGAAATCAACTTTAACTTGAGAATATAAATAAATTCAACATTTCAACAACATTCAAAACAATAAACACGTTGAGATCTATTCTGTCCAATATACAAAGTTCAATGTTTGTTTTCAGATGGATAAATACGTGCCACACTTGACGACTTGTCTGTCTAATTCCGTATATAGGACGAGAGATCTAGCCGCCTGGGCCACAGTTCCTTTTATTCGCAGCGATCAAATTTCTAGTCATTTAAATAGTATATTTGATAGGTTAAGTCAATCGGATGTTAAAGATAACGAAACCCATGGCTGTTTACTACTGGTAGGTAATATAAATATCTTACATAATATTTCTGTTCTATATTACTTATTACTAGATATATTTATGACAAAAAAGTGCCTACTAGTTTGTATATATATGGGGTGAATTATCGTTGATACGATAAGAAATGTAGGTTCATATAATTGAAATCAAAATTCAACAAAATATACGGTTTTGATAAGAAAAAATATAATTTCGATGAGTGATCCTGTATATTTCAAAACAATTTTGAAATTTACTCTTCATTGACCCAAATATCACTGGATTTCAATAATAGAACGTCACATCAACAGTGATTCACCCTGTATATACTCAATAAATCGCAAATTTAACTTAACAGTTATTTCTTTTTCCAAAATTAACTATCGGCATTCAATTCAGTAGAAATTATTACGAATTCTTGAATAGTTTGTCGATAATGTAACTATTGACGACAAGAACACAACAATGAAAAAACAACCCTTGTATCACAGTGGTAACCTCAATGTGCGCTATCTGCGACCAATTTTGTAACAATGTCTCTTTTTCAACTGTATCAGTGTGTAACTCTTGCCTTGTTTCAAAACAATTCGTTTGTTTAAGTTTTAAACAATACTACGCCCAGTGCTCACTTACGGATCGTAAACATGGTCAATGACAATGACAAGGAGATATAATTTCTAATTCTATAGACTGTTTAGTGATGAAGATCGTGAAAACCATCACCTAAACCGCCTAAAATGGGTGGGTCACGTTATGCGGATGGATGAACGTGATTCTGCTAAAATAACCATGTTTAATAGGCTGGTCGGAAGAAGAAGAAATGTGCGACCTAAACTCAAGTATCTGGACGATGTGCAGGATGATTTAAGGGAGATTTGTGTAAAGGGATAGAGAAGACAGACACTGGGAAGGATAGAAGAATGTTAGGCAAGCCAGAAGAGCTATAGCCGCTAATTTATGATGACACTATATAAAACTGACGATGGTAAATAATATGCAATAAATTGTAGTAACGTGGGAAAAACAATTTATTATTAGCTCAAATAAGTATACTCAAACGAAATTTTATTCATCATTGACTAAAATTTTAAACTAGGTCACAAATATTACAAGACTACGTCCCAAATCTGAGTCGATCCCAATTTATAACCTGTGCCAAACATAATCCACTAAATAATCAAAACAACGCGTCCGTTTCGTGTTCTTTATGCAGTACGAAGCCGCGTGTATCAAATTTATTTATATGATAATTTTTCGACTGTTCTAACAACCATTCAAATTTCGTCATTTTGTGTCATGTGGAACAATTTCACCCAATCATGTCAACATTAGACTGATAATTGCATTCAGGTGCAATTTTCAATCCCTATGACAACACGATCGAGTTTGGACAAATTTCATCCAAATAAATTTCAAAATGTCACGGTTTCGGCAATGAAAATGTTCAAAGTATAAATGCGCTAATCAAAGAAAACAATTTAATAATTGTACTTTTAATAAATAAATGTTCGTTATGTTGAGTTATGATTTTTTTTTTCGAAAAATTATCCGCCGAATATCCCTCGACATTGATGAATGCCTCATAATTTCATAACAAATTTCTCAAGCTCGTTGCTTGGTAACAACACATCAGCATTCGGGCTTCGTGCTGTTACCAAGGAACGAGCTTTCGATTGTCATGAAATTATCTACGTCTCTTATCAATGTCCTAGGGATATTACTACTGAAAACAAAACTTTTTTCTCTACTGTTGTGATATAAAACATTTCGTAGAAATTCTTGGTTCTTGAAATTGAATGTGACAAATAAAAAATATTTATATACTTACATTTTGTCTATATTTTAGGTGTTATATATTATAAGATCAAATTCTACTGTGCCTGAGATTCCAATTAGTGATTACCTTCAAAAGACTGTTAAGATATTAAAATTCGCTGGCAAAAACTTTAGTCACATGACAGCGTCCCTCTATCTGCAATTGGTTATGCTCATACTTACCAAGTAAGTCAATTATTTATAACATATTTTTACTTGTTTAATATACTTATTCGATAAACATTTATGAAAATGACCATTTTTTGCATTTTATTTGAACATTTCTTTTAGATATCCAAATTATCAAGACTTAGACATGTTGAGAAACCTCGTAAAAATTCTCTCGAGACAAATCACTTCCAACATAGAGCCGGTAACTTCGTTAAGTAAATATTGCCAAGTGCGACTTTCTTTACTCTTTTATATAGTAATAAATAAATTCGAAGAAACAGATTTGACATATTCGACGGTAACGAACCAAATTATATGTCAACTTTTACGGACACGATCTCGAGATGAGAAGGTTTTGTCTTAATTTGCTGATATATTTGAATCAGGTGCATACAGGTAAGTGTTTTTTTTTATATATAACTCTTAGAACGTCAATTATGTATGTTTCATGATCATAATTACTTGCTAAACTTAGTTTAGAGTTAGAAAACAGTTTAGAAGAAGTTAGAAAATAGTGAGGTTTATATTTATATAGTTGAGATTATAAAATTGTAGGCAGTATATTCTCAGAAATGTAAATGCGATAAGGCGATGAACATTGTTGCCAGTTCACGATGATATATATAAAATATTCTAGCAATTTATTTTTTATTCATTCACATTCAGCAAGATTATCATAGACTAAACATTAGTTTTGTATTCGTTAAGGTGTCTAACAAAATTTATTTAATAACAACATATATATATTTAGGTTGAGTTTACCGAAGGTACAAGCTGAATGTAGCCGCAAATGTCAAAAATATTTGGGTTTGGCAGTGTTGGAATGTTTTTATAATGCATATGTTATATACTTCAAATATATAGATAGAAAGCTTTTAAAAAGTACATTATGATTATATATTTTATGAACTCTGCAATTTTCAATTTATATGAAGCAATAACGAGTAAATATTTGTCTTTAGAGATTAATTGCAAACATCTATCAACAATCTGGCAGACTGCTGCTTTGTCGATTGCCTAATCTTATCCCCTAATTATATGAAACGGTAATTCCCAAAAAAATTTCTAATAATTAAACTGCAATTTATCTCCAAAAAAACTAATACTTACTCATTCTTCTTTTATAAAAATCAAAAATTGCAGAATTTATAACAAAATATAAACAAAATGTACTTTTCTAAAGCTTTTATCTTTTTATATTTGAAGGATATAGTACCTACATTATAAAAACATGCCAACTCTGCTAAACCGAAATTTTTTGTTCCATGTTTGACATTTGCGGCTATAATCAGCTTGTTCTTTCGGTAAACTCAACCCAATATTTATATATAGAACACATCTAAAAGTACGATCATATTCTGTGTAAAAGTCATGCATGACAATTTCGTGTTCTTAAGACCAGTTCTTTTTTAGGCTACCTCCATTTTGAGTTCTTAAAATTTATGAGTAAACACTCGGAAAATAGCGCCTTGGGGAGGGGGAGTTTAACCTCCAAACCGGGGGTACGCCACTGGGTTATGAACACTTTTTATGGCAGTAGTTAACAAGTTTTTCACCTCCTCCATTTTAATACTCAAGTTTTCTCTTGCTATTTGTTTTTTTATTTGAGCCCATATAAGCTCGAAAGGAATCAGATCACAATGATAATGATAATAATCTGCCATTTCGTGGACAGTATATTTCTTGAGAAGAAAAAAACTTAATGGGCATATCATTTTTAAAGTTTCCAAGATATAGCCGATGGCCAATGACTGCACATTTTTTTTTTCTATAATTTGATAAGCACTTTATTAATGTACTTTATGTTTTAGGATACAAACACAGTTTATACCAAACCGAAGAAATCCAAATACCCCCCGAAGTCAGATTCTTGGGTAACACATTCGACAGAAAGTCAATCGCAAAAATTCCTAAACCAGCACCCACCAATATCTCAAAAAGTTCCTAGTAGAAGAAATCAAACACCATCAATACGTAAGAGAAGAGGATCAAGTTTTGTTGTTATTGCTGCTGAACTATTATCCGTGCGCCATCAAGTGTTTAAACACGAATAAACAAGAAACTTTGGACATGTTGCTCGAATTGTGTAGTTGTAACCCTAGCGAAGACGTGATCAGTGCTGTGATTAGTTGTATCAGCACGTTTTTGCTGCACCTGGATTACAACGTGCTAAAGTACGAGGTTTTGGTGGCAGTACTAGCGGATAGCGCTTCTCCGGCAGCAAGTGATTTTAGGAGACTGGCAGTTTGTGATTTTTTGGCTAAAAATTATATTTTATATTGTAATGAAGACAGTATTTTAATTAGTAAGTGCATTTTTACATTACATATTATCATAACTTATCTTTAATAATCTTTACTGGAATCAAACATCGTCTATCCGTACAGAGACAGGAGAATCCGATAATATCAAAATCAAACGTGGGGTCCGACAGGGATGTATACTATCACCCCTGCTGTTCAACATATACGGTGTTCAACTTTATGAATTATTGTAGATTGAAATACGCTTGGTAAAGCAATGTACAGCTAATATTTGTATATTTTATGTCCATATTCTTATTGTTGTACTAGCTAATTGAAGGAAATTATTTTGTAGCTCATGATCTCCATATGGTATTACATATAATACTGGTTTTGTTAGAAGATGACGAGTTGATAGTGAGAAACGCTATGAGTGAGTTTGCGACCGTTCTGAAAGTGAAAGTATTCCTGGGAAGTTGCACCAATAAACAACAAACCATGTAAGTGTTTATTAACTTATAAAGTATTTAAAAACACGTATAACTGAATGTATAAATATATAAAATTAATTCATTAAACATGCATTATCGCACAATAATAAACTATTTTTTTGTAGCTCCGGAAAGAAATGGCCAGTGATAGCAGAAAAAGCCAGGGAAGATCTATTAAACTTGAGTTCCATAATTCTTCCGAAAGATGGCGCCATTTGCTTTTTATTTTCGTGGTGCTGCCGCCATTTTCCAGATTCATCCAGTAATGACGTCTCCGAGGTAAATTTATATAGTTTTTTTTACATGAATATACGTTTTTTGTGATGCGATCAAGAATGTTGCAAGTTGCATTTTGACAATTGTTACATAGAATAAGAAATAATCAATCGATTTGCATTGATACCAATCACGTAGATTCTTCAACCATGAGTTCTGCCTTCGGCCAATAGATCTTCTTTCCTTTAATCTTTTCCCTGTACTATGAGTCCTCAAAATTTTATATTTTGGTCCCCCTCATCACGTGGCCTAGGTATTTGCAGTTTTCTGGTTTGTATAGTGGTAATTAGTGGTAATTAGTTTCTTTTCTTACCAACCCATGATAAACCATGCGGTATTACTATTCCTCGATTATTTTTAAATTGCATTTTTTTAAAGTACAAGTCTCAGCTCCGTATAATATTGAAAATATAAAATAGTGGACTGTTACGTAGTCTGATTTCAAAATTTAAAGATTTTTTGCACGTTAGAAGTCGATTCATTCGTATAAATGCTGATCTGGTAATCTCTATTCGCCTGTTAATTTCTGCAGTATCAACATTGGTTTCATTGATCAAAGTTCCCAAGTACTGAAATTTTTCTACTTGTTCTATCACGTTACCATTGATTGTCAATAGGTGATGTATATTTTGTGGTCTTTTCCCATCTCAGCACTATTCATACTTAAGCTTTCGATAATATCTTGTAGATCATCTATACTCGTTGCTATGATCACAGTGTTGGTCTGCATATCGTAAGTTGTTAATTAATTTTCTTTTAACGGTAACTCCCGCTTTGATATTATTGAGCGTGTTTTGAAAATTTTCTTCAGAATATAAGTTAAACAAAAGTGGTGACAAAAACACATCCCTGTCTAACTGCTCTACAGAACTTATTTCTTTTGAGTGTTGCCCATCAATTTGAACTATGTACTTTGATTCCAATATAATGATTGCACTATATTTATGATTTTACTGTCAATACCCTTGTTCATAAGTATTGATATTAGTTTTTCATGTCTTACTTACAAAGCTTTTTCGTAGTCATCAAAGCATAAGTGTAGATCAACGTTTACATCTCGACATCGCTGAATCAATATGTTGATGGCAAATAGTCCTTATTTAGTACCCATTCCATTTCGGAATCCGAAATGCCTCTCGCTAATATCCTCCTCTAGCCTTTCGTATATTCTCGTATGTATTACTTTCAGCAGTACTTTTAAAGTATGACTCATGAGGCTCAGTGTTCGATAATTAAAGCACTTTTTTGCTGCTTTTTTTAGGGATGGTTATAAATGCTGACTTCAGCCACTCTTGTGGTATTATTCCCGTATTGTACACCGTGTTGAATAAATCTGCCAATACTCAAGTTATCCTCTTCCTTCCTTCTATAACTGAGGTTATAGATTTTTTATATCTGCTATTTACGAGTATAAAGTCTATCTGGTTTTTGACAATGTGGTTTTCTGTATGTGAAGGAGACGTTCGTGTATATAGTCTTCTCTTAAGAAGCTGCAACCAAGTATTGGCAATTACCATATTCTTTTCTTGGCAGATTTCTATGAACCTTCTCCTCTCTCGTTTCTAGTTCCTAATCAGAACTGTACAACATATATTTCAACTGTACCTACTCCAAGTTTTGCATTAAAGTCTCCTAAAAATGTAAGTATGTAAGTAAATATATTAACGTAACAGACCTGTCAAACGCTTACATTTATAGAATTCAATCCTCTCTATCCACCAAATGCACGCAAAAGCGACATATCTGAGTTGCCATTCTGATTGTTTTCTATTCTGCGTCAATACTTTACTGTAGTAATAATCACGTAATAAAAATCTTATGTCTAAAATTTTGTATACAATAATACTGTACTTAATACTTCTTTTTTTTTAAGGTATTTGAACGGGGTGAACTAAATTCTTACGCAGAAAACATTCCATTCATGGATCTGTGCGCGGAAATTCTGCACAAGCTCCTTTGGACCCTCGAGGACGGTTTGAGCTACGAAGACAAATCCATATTCATCGAGGAGCATACTCTGCTCGTCACCACGATGCTTCTCGATGCGCTGGTGAAGCATTCATCTCCGATGATGTTGTACAAAACCAAAGTGTCTGTGATATGTGCTTTAAAGTCGACTGTTAAATTTTTAGAGCGATACGAAATTAATACAAATTTTATAGATGAATTTAGGACGTATTTGAACGAAACGATCATTGGTTATTTGACCAAGCAGGTCGAGCACAATGATCTGTTTCATATCAAATGGATTATCAAAAAGATTTATGATCCGGTCTTGAGATATAAAAGGCCGACGGTTTGATTATGTTTTTTGTTTTTATGTTAACCAGAACTCGGTACAGATACCATTTTTAAGAACTTAAGTTTTATCGAAATTTTATTGTAGCATAGAAGCCATTGACAATGGAACTCAAAAATTCCCTATAATTCTTACTTCTGTTGTAATATTGCAAAAGTTTTCTTAAAATCTTGCCACATCACTGATACTAACATCAAGGATCATCTGGTACAGTCCGCTGAACACACTCCGGCACTGTAGACTCCCCTAAATTTTATTGTAATTCATTTTCAACTGAACTCAAAAGTACCTGCCTATTTTCAACCGTTTTGTTATTCCTATCAGCGCCGATGAGTTTCTAGACATGTAATAACAGACAAAAATCCAAAGAATGTATTATATGGGCAATATATTCGATATTTCATACACAAACTGTACACAACGCCTACTTTGTGAAAATCAAATAATGAAAGTCGAAGTTTGAATCATAGGTGTTGACTGCGCATGACAATTTTTAAAACTTTTTCCTATATTTGACAAACTGTACAGCTGGTTCCTAAAAAAACTGATACGACTCTTAGTAAGATTTGATTATGACAGACAAATAATAAAACAAACAAACAAATAACAAACAATTGATTATATACAGTTGATCCGCCGGATCTTTGCACATCGTCATCATTCTTATTATAGGAAATAAATCAAAACATGTGAGTCAAACGTATGTTCGGCTATAAGAATTATTATAAAAATTAGAAAATGGCTATATTACAATTGACGTTTTTATACTTCTCTTTTATTTCATTTATTGCATTTTAAAAAACTGGGTACGTATACATTTATGAACGTGATCTTCCAAGTTGTCCAATAACATCTACAGTAAATAAATATTTAAACCATAGTAATCAGAAATTAAGTATTTTATTGAATATAAGCATAATATTTCATATTGCCCGTTGACGGAGTTTTAGCTATATTTAAATAATTAATGTCAATTTAGAGGTTAAAAAAATATATTATTCGTTATTAGCTAATACGTGAATTCTTACCTTAATAAGTTGAACATGAAGGTAAGGGTTGGTCGTTACAACAACTGTTTGTTATAAAAAATATGTATATTTAAAGTATGAAAAAGGATTGATTATTTAAATCAAAACGAAAATAATGTATAAAAATATTACAAACTCTGTCAAAACAAAAATTTCCAATTGACATGTCAAATTGTCAGTAGACGAATCAATCAGCGATCATTGTTCTAATGGCTGTCTTTGATCAATGCATGGTGTTGTGTATGGACAGGCGGTTAAGTTAATAGTTTTAGTTTCTGTGAGTAGGAAAGAGACGTAACAAAAAATTTTTCGTGAATAATGTCATACTTTTGCAAAGATCCGGCGGACCGACTGTATGTTAATTCATAAATTGTAATAATTATTAAGATCTTCTTCTTCTTAACATGCCATACACCAAAGTGCGTAGGCGACTATCTCATTACTAGAATTCTGTTCTTGGCGGCGTGACACAGCTCACCTGTATTGAGTATTCCTGTCAATTCTTTAATATTCCTTAACCAGGATAATTGTTTGCGGCCGGCTCCTCTCCTACCTTCGATCTTCCCCTTGTAGGATTAACTGTGGTATTTCATATTTTGCTCCTCTCAATATGTGCCCAAGGTAACCAATCTTGCGTTTTTTAATTAATTCAAAGAGTTCTCTTTCCACGCCGGCTCTATTAAGGACGTCATCGTTTCGCCTACCTTCGATCTTCCCTTGTAGGATTAACTGTGGTATTTCATATTTTGCTCCTCTCAATATGTGCCCAAGGTAACCAATCTTGCGTTTTTTAATTAATTCAAAGAGTTCTCTTTCCACGCCGGCTCTATTAAGGACGTCATCGTTTCGAACTCTATCCACCCAATTAAGATCTAAATTGTGATATTATTTTTAATTCCTGTAGAATTGTCCTTTTACATAAAATATAGTAGTTGTCCAGATTTAGCCATACGGCTCACACTCCCTATAAGGGGAAAATTCACTCATCTCAGATACCTACGGTATCAAAAGGATTGAGCTCTGGTGGGACTCTTTCCGTGTTATCGAGCCCTAGGTGACATTGCCTCGATGTTTTGGCCATCTTGCATATCGAAACCTCCGGGCTGAACCTTTCCTCTGACTATATTTAGTATACAGCACTTGTCTAGTCCAAAATACATACTAATATCATTTGAGAAATTTTCTACAGTTTTTACCATCTGATCGAAGTGGAAGCCATTAATTTCAAATCATCCATATACAGAATTCTGCCTCCGGCTTCTATATAATATGTAGCTTCTCCTTTTTAAAAAATTTTAAAGTGTTTGTCTTTGTGTATTGTATTGTTATGTCCAAATTTACATATATGACATTCTACTCATGTCGGATAGGACACAACTGACGAAATGCCCCTGAAGATGATCTATTGATCGAAAGTACTTGGTCAAGATTTAATTAACTACTGTGTTCGATATTTGCCTTGTATACCATCAAAGTTTAATTATTCGAACATTCAACCTTATATTGACATAATAATCAATTTCAGCTCATGAACCTCAAGATATTTATCTATATTATCATTGTACAACGTCTACGTCTGTGTATTTCGTAAAAGTTTCTTATAATTATTTTCAATCATAAACCATTTTTCTTGTAACCAAAACTGCTATTGTAAAATTTATCTAAAAGTACAGCTCTTGTATTGTAAGCCGGCGTCACAGAATTTTTTTTTACTCTTAAAAATTTCATACGGCAGTTAACGTGTTATTAATAATTTTTGGGTAACAACTAAGGTAGTCGATCACAGTTTTTGACTGGATTCAGTTACGTAATCGTTAAAAATGGCGTATGGGCTCCATTTTGTAAGATACAACATGCGTACTAAATATAATTTATGAATGAATGTGTAACTTATTTGGTCATGTATCTAGTTTTGGTTTTTCTCCGTGTAAGTTTGAATTCCCGAGTATCTGATAAATATATATGTTCATCTTTTGTTATACAAGGTGGTCCATCAATGGGAATTGTGTGAATATGCCCTAAAGTGTAATTTTCCGATGTTGACAAAAGTTTTGTACCCTTATAAATTTGATATTTCTCTACTCATTTTATTTCAGATCTCTTTAGTTTTCACATTTTTTATATTATTTCATCACTGATAATAGTAAAAAAAGTGGACTAGAGGATTATCTTCCAAAATGCCATTTTTAACTGATATCGGTTTGATGATTTTTGTTCAGTTTTGATATAAACCTCTACATATTAAAAAAAGTAGTAAGTTTTTCCCTTACTTCCATAAATGTTTGGAATGAAAAGTTTTTGATAAATGTACACAATTCTCTAAAACTATTGTTTTGGGCCACCCTGTACGTCATATTAGCAATAATCTTCCAAAGAGTTTGAATCTAATTTACACGGAAAGCAGATATACTGTAAAATTATTTTAATACCGAGACAACAAAAATTGTTATTTTTCTTAATTAACTTGTATTAAAACCGTGCGCAAATTGGTCATTCGGCTGATTTTTCAAACGGTTCTCTGTTAAAAGGTATCATTTTATTGTAGTTTAGAGTTTCCGAAAGAAATTTAAAATTATACTTTGTCATACAAATATATTTTATTCATTTCAAACAATGTAGTTTTTATTAATGAATAGTTTTTGTTCCATGTTTGACATTTGTGGTTTGTACTTTCAGTAAACTTAACCCTGAGTTTTTATATACAATTTTGGAAACACTTTTTGGTTAACTTTAACGAAAGTTCAAGCTGAATATAACCGCAAATGTCAACCATCGAACAAAATTTGTTGGTTTGGCAATATTGAGATGTTTTTATAACGCATATGTTATGCTTTAAATACAAAGAGAGAAAGCTTTTAAAAAGTATATTTTAAATATATTATGTTATTATAAAAGTACCCATATAATTACATATAACTATGTAATTCTGCAATTTTTGAGAGGTTCATTGCGTAAGGCGCCGGTCCGCGTCCAGGCCGTTCATTCCTCGGTGCTAACGGCGCAGCTCCGCGCGAAACTTGACTTCTATTGATAGTATGATATTTTATTAGCACGAGAGTTGTGCGTTTATTTGCTACATCAGACATCACAGTTTACACTTTTGTTGTTTACTTTTATTCTGATATGTGTTTGACTATTGCAATGATGGAGAACGCAGAGCCAGGTTGTTCTCAGTCAAAACGTAAAAAAAAATCCTAAAAAGTTAACAGAAGAAGAACTTGAATACTTTTTAACACAATCAGATAGTGAAGATGAATATATTTCATCGGAAGACGAATATATTCCATCTACAGACGATGAGGATGGGGATGAGTTGGGTAAGTTGAAAACAAGTGAGTTTAAAAAAGTTTAACAATTTGTACTTTTGTAGGTGACGACGATATTTCGGGTATTGTGCAAGCCATTCAAAACAAGGAGGAACCGAATGAAAATTTAAATCCAAATACACATAAATGGCAAAATGATTGATGGAAATGAAAAGTTGGTATAAAGATGTATGTACTTACTGAACATAACGGATTAGTTCAAAATATGAAAGTTTATGCTGGTAACTTTGATACTACCGCCGGAAGACACCATTCAAAAAAAGTTGTCAGGAAATTGATGCAACGAAACATCTAAATGCAGGTCACTCGTTGTTTATGGACAATTTTTACATGAGTATGGACCTTGCCGAAATACTTTATGAAGAACAAAACATATTGTACAGGAACTCTTCTGGGAAGAAGACAAGGAAGTGCAGTAGAAGTGGAAAACAAAAAAAAAACTAAAACCTCTTCCAATCGCCGAATATAATGACAATATGAGTGGTGTTCATCACAAAGATCAAATGTTATCATACTATCCTTACGAAAGAAAAACCCTTTGCAGATACAAAAATGGGATATACAATATACTACAAGTGATTTTAGTAAACTCATATTTTTTATTTAACAAAATGTTTGTCTGGAACAAAACTGTCTGTATTACTTTCGACTAGAAATTATAAGAAATTTACTACGCTCTCCTCAGAAAAATGTTCCTAAAACATTGAATAAGTTGTCCTAACGGCATATTTTGAGCAAAATAGCTGAGAAAAATACAAAAGGAGAAATGAAACGTAAAAAGTGCACGTGTGTACAGTGAATAAAAAAAGAAAAGATACGATTTATGAATGTCTTATTTGTACTGACAAAACTAGTCTTTGTCTAGGCGCATGCTTCGTAACATACAATGAAGAACGAAAATTACTCTAGTTGGTGTATTTTTTGTACTATGTGTTACCTATAACGTTCAAGTGGCTCTTATTATATTATTTTTGGTGTATGTTTTGTTACTTTTCAAGTAAAACATAATATTTTTTTGTAGCCTTTTATTTAAAAATAAGACGCGGATCCGCGTCCGTTAGCATTTGGTGTGAAAATTTAAAGTGTGGTGCTAACGGATCAGATCCGCGCATGATACTAAGACTTCCAAGATAAACCCACTTCGCAATCGAATTCTGTACATCGACGCGCATGACGTCAATTGGTGATAAAAGTCACTTTTATCACCAACCTTTTATCATCACAGTCGGTAAAACATATATGGAAAGAAAGGGGTTTTTATTTAAATATTTAGAATATTAAGGGATGTTAGGTAAAATATCTGCAATTAAATCTTAAAAATATGTTATATATACATCTCTGTTAGCCTAGCAATGTAAACTAAAATTATATAAAAAAGTAAGAACTAAACATCCTTTTGCAAATGGAAATTTATATACAATGGATTGATTTATTAAAATAAAAATTTAATACAACTGATAAAATAAAATACACTGTAATAATTTACAAGTTTATTTAACAATTTATTTTACAATTTTTAATATTTTCTTCTTCTTAACTTTGGATGTTTCTTTAATATATCTATTCAATTTTCTAATTTTAAAATATAATTTACACCTTTACTAACATTACATCTGAACACAGCTAAATCCATTAGCGATTTTAAATAATTCTTGGTTAATTTTAATGACCCTTTGTTAAAATTGTTAAAAATATGGTCCAGTTCATTACATTTAATTAGAAAATCTGGATATGGTTTAAGTAAACCTCCTTCGGAAAGATGGTTTACCCAGTAAACCGATGTCAACGTACAAGATAAACGATAAAACAAAACTAAATCTCAAGGTTAGTAGATATTTAAGTAGATACTTAAATATCTACTAACCTTGACTAAATCTGACAAAACTCCATACAACACAGAACATTTCTGGTGACATTTGTCGCCAAGTGACGTCACACGACTGATCGCGTGCGCGTGGGTTTATCTGTAGTTTATAGTATCATGAGATCCGCGTCCTTTTGACATTTGCTCCAAAATGTGGCATATAATGTGTAAAATATATAAAATACTATGATACTATGAACTTTAAAGGTCGATTCAGAGACATCAGTCCCGTTATAGTCTCGGCGCCGAACCGATCCTGTTTGGCCACAGAACTATCAACTATCTGACAGCTGGGAAACTGTTTGTCAACTGATGAGTGTGAATGCCGGCAACATTTTGTATTAAAGAATATTTTGTATGACGGATTGTTCGGTTCGGCGCAATCACTGTGACGAGACGTGACTGATGTATCTGAATCGACCTTTAAAGATAAACCCACGCGATCAGTCTAGCAGACGTGTGACGTCACTTGGCGACAAATATCACCAGAAATGTTCTGTTTTGCATAGAGTTTTGTCAGATTTAGTATTGTTTTATCGTTTATCTAGTACGTTGACAAATAAATGTATACACTTTTAGATAAAATATATTTCAGAATGTTAAATTAAGATAAACTTTTATCACCAAGTGACGTCATGCGCATCGACGTACAAAATTTGATTGCGAAGTGGTTGTATCTTGGAAGTCATAGTATCATGATAAAATACTAACGACCAACTATTGTCACTGTTTGTTGAAACAAAGTTCCTAGCACCTGGCATGTTCCTATTAGATTACGTACGCAGTGAACTTGTTAATTTATATAAAATAATAACGAGTAAATATTTGTCTCGTTCGAGATTATTTGCAAACATCTGTTGCAATCTGGCAATTGGTGATTTGATGATTGCCAAATCTAATGGCAATTACCACGAATAAATTTTTAAAAATTAACTGCAATTAATATCCAAAGAAACAACTATTTACTCGTTCTTGTTTTATATAAATTAAAAATTGCCGAATTCATAACATACTATAATCAAAATGATCTTTTCTAAAATTTTATCTTTTGATATTTGAAACATACAGCATATTTATACATTATAAAAACATGACAACACTGCCAAACCGAAATATTTTTCCATGGTTGACATTTGCCGCTATATTCAGCTTGTACTTTCGTTAAAGTTAACCCACTTTTTTAGTTTTAAATCTGTTCTCTACGTCTGATTTTTTCATGTACTTTGTAAATGTACATGTAGTTTTTCATACGTTTTATGTTTTGCCTAGTATCTAACCGATATTTTTTAGTTTTTTGGACTTTTTTTTGCATTATTAGCTTCGGGGAGTTAGTACAAGCACTAAAACAAGTACTAAAACCTATATTATTTGAGACTCCTATACTTTTTGATATTCAGGGTTGGAAAAAAAACTGCGTATACAAATGGGTGCATATATTTTTCCTTAGTGAAAACAACATTACATTATAAATAACTAAGATAAAATAAAACAACTTAAAAATATCTATCACGACAACTATATCACTAAAAAAATATGGCTACAAGTTGGTACACAAGCCACAAAAAATATATTTTCTTATTCGTAATGTCAAAAAATGAAAAAAAAAAACTGCCTTATATCTTGCGAAAACGTTTAGAAAGAATAAAGCACTCTGTTAGTAAACGTAAACATAAAAAAGTCTTATTATTTCCGATATAAAGTAGGTCTGGATGTCAAATGTCAATCAAATCTCAAAAAGGAACAAAATCTCAAGGAAATACAAAATATGACATTTGACGTCTTTTAGTTGGGTACTCTGCGTTGTTAAATTTAATAAAACAATATCGTTACTGAGTATTTACTCATTTGTTGATGAATATATACATAGAATATAGAATAATTGACTTATAGAGTCTATAAGTATAAAATGGTTTCCTATGGATATTTCCTCCTTACTAATATTCTACGTCTTTATTCATCAAAAAAAAAATATTTCTTAAGCTGCTATTTCATATCGGAGTCATTTTTCAGAGGAGCTTGTATAAACAATAACATTTTGTCAATTTTCCGGGTTAATACTATTTCGTATTATAATACGAACGATCGAAACAATTTTTTTTAGTCGCATCAACAACTTAAAAAATAACATTCTAATATGTTTGTACGTTTTTCCTTAATAAATTATCAAGGAAAAGGAGATTCAACATTTTAACAAACATTTATGCTCGCTTCTGATCAAATAAAAGGGAATTTTATTGCGAGAGCAACAAATGTGGTTAAATTGGTTTAAAATAATTTTAAGTATAGAGAGAAGAACAATTCATCTTGTAAAATTTCAAATATAGACAACCAGCACTGCTTACTTGAGTATAATTGGTTGCCTACATTCGCATAAACAATAACTTTATTTTTATTCCTGGAAAAGATGTGTTAATGGTAAAAAATGGCACAACTACTTACTATTTACTTTGAATATAAATATTTTGGTGTTTAAAATTATTCTATTTATGTTTCTGTCAAGATGTGATGCTATTTTTGTATAATCTCAAGTTAGTAAAGTAATTTGCAATGTTTTCTTAGTCTACTTCCTACAACCTTTCGTGACTCTATGTATGACTAGAAGTAACCACACTCTTTTCTAGCCATTTTTCAATAAATCTCCAATCTCTTTCAATAAACATGTTTGATGAATTGTTCTTTTTTAATATTGACACTCTAGACTTAAATGTCACGCAAATATTGAATTTTAGTCATAAATATTATGTAAAGTATTAATAAAGATCCTAAAAACTAAAAAAAATATTGTGGTAACTTTACATACGAAAAAGTTTAAACAGAAAATATCAAAGTTAATCAACAATATGTCACATTATCGATTAACGTCATAACTTTAAATTTTGTGAGGATAGGTTCTCAATCACGATCTACAATAGACCAAATTGTCTGTTAGTTCATTTTTAATTATTTTTGTGAACTTATCTGAACTAAAAGCTTATCTGAAAGATTTCTGAAGAGAGCTATTAGAGATAAATCAAGTTCTAGACCTAACCTCAACAAAAATGGCGTCGTGACGTCACAATAATGTTACGTATAGCTTGTAGGTGAAATCTACGAATTGGACATGGATTCAATGGTGACTTTTCAAGCTACTGCAACTCTGAGAATCCTTAATAATGGGCACAGATTCCCTGCGGGGTTCTTTCGTTAGTAGGCTTTTGTCACGCTTGGATGGCACGCTTTCGCGCCGGTTGGCGCTGATGTGAGATACAAAAGTTGGTTGGTTCGGTGTAAGATTTGTGCAGTTCGATACTGTAAAACCCGAAAACTCCTTCTTGTTGGCTACTTCCTTTATCGAACTCAACGTTTTGCTCAGCCAAGGCGGCCAACTGTTCTTCGCCGTCGTCAATTCTACTTCAGTCGCTCGCAACTGATGCGTCAAATTCTAGAAGAAAAAAAAACAGCTATATACAAAATGAATTACTAATTTAGTAGTATGAGTAATGCAATAATTAATTGTCATTTCTGATTAATGAAGTATTATTCGACACTATTAACAGGTGTTTTGAGTGATTCGTACTGTAAAAACTGCAAAAAAAATATGTAAATAACCATAATACAGTCTAACACAGACTCCTCATATCCGGACAGTTTTTTCTCTACGAATGGATGTATTTCTAGCGTAGTATGTGACCTTATACAATTTTGACTTTCTTCGACTGTGGGACTGTGTTTTCTCTCAGTCTTTGTTTGCTCGTGAGCAGTGAAAGTTGTTGCCCGTGAAATTTTTAAGATTCGTACCAACTTGACATTGTATGTTTGTCCATCAATTTTGTGATAATATGACCGAAAAAAGGAAGCAAAATGTTGTAAGGTTGGCAATAAAGAACAAGATCATCTGCGTATATTGAGTATTTTATTGGAGGAAGAACAAGAGAGTTTATATCGTTAATGCTAAGAAGGAATAGTGTGGGGCTGAGAACTGAGCCTTGGGGAACCCCATTTTGAGAGATATGTGATTAGATGTTTTCCCGTTTGCAACTACTTTGAATGATCTCTCTAGTAGGAAATTGTTAATATTTAGGATCTTGGATCTAGGAGTAGGATCTTGTTAAGGTGATAATATTACCCGTTAAATGAGATGAGATGAGATGTGTAGATGGGGTAATTTGATCATCTGTTGTTTATATATCACGTCTGCGGATGCGTCTGCAACATATCTGATCGTTGTCGGTTTTTTTTAGCACGGATCAAAGGGTTTCCATGCGGACGCCCGACGCCTTTTGACACATATCACCTCTGACTTCTTCTTTTCCATTTTTTTAATGTTTCTATTCCGATGTACACTCAAGTAGTAGTTGAACGTTCTAAATAGGCATATTTAGCTGCAGCAGCTATGGTATCAACATCCATTTTTTTCATGCTCGCGTAGATATTGCCTCTCCCGGGAATTAACACAGACTGAACGATTTACAGATGTGCCCAGATGTGTGGTCAGCTTGTGATGATACACCTGCAGATACATCCGCAGACGCTTCTGCCGATGTGTAGTGGAGGCATAAGGCAACTGTGATGGCGTCATTCTTATTTGATATAGCTTGGGTTATTTCTGTTTGGAGAAATACCAGGTTATCCATCGTACTTCGATTGGATCTGAATCCCGACTGTGCTGCATCTATCAGATTGTTTTCTTCAAGAAACCAAAGCAAACGTTTATTTATCATCTTTTCTAGTAGTTTGCACATTGTGCATGTTAGTGAGATTGGCCTGTAGGCACTGGCAGCGTTAGAAGATGAGTCATTTTTCCTGATCGATATGATAAGCGACTGTCGCCAAAGACTCGGAAAGCTTTGGCTGAACCATATCTTATTGCAGAGCGCAAGTAGCTTCAAGAGGGTTCATGATTGTTTGAGAAAGATAGACATCATAGAGGTCATCAGGACCTGCAGATGAGTTTTTCATTGATGAGATTGTCAAATTTAACTCTACTTCTATGAAGGTGAGGTTTATTGGATAGGGTTAGGTGGTGATTGGTTTGTGGGGTACGAAATGGAGAGTTCAGACTTAGTTTTGTTTTGAAAGTATTTTGCTAGCGTTTCGGTTATTTGGTTATCATTTGTAATGACATTATCTCCATCTGTTATTGCGAATATTTGCGATATGTGTTAAACTCTCATTGTTTAATTTTTTCACACTTGGCGGAGGGTATCTAAGTTAGCTGTTTAATTTTTTCAGGATCTTTTTTTGCTTTCCTTCAGAATTCGTTTGGACTTTGCACGCATTTTCTTAAAATGAATCAGACTTTCGATGCTACGAGTTTCACGATATCTATTAAGATACTTCTTGTATTCTTTTATTGCGAGTTTACAGGAGTCGTTCCAGCATGGGACGGCCTTTCTTGAGGAATTTATGGTGCATTTACCTATACATTGGTCGGTCCGCAGTTAGAATGCAATTTGTAAATTGCTCTACGGCAGCGTCGATGTTTTCCTTGAAAATTATTTGGTATGAAAGGTCTTCAGAGTATCACTGAATAATAGTAGTAGGGTAGTGATTGCTATCATATAAGCTATCTAGTGTTTGCCACTGAAGCAGAGGAGCGGTTCCAGGATCGCAAAAACTTAGGTCTATGCAAGAAGAGGTTCCAGACTGGATGTGGAAATATGTGAAGCTCCCTGTTTTCAAGAGGTTGATGTTAGAGTTACTTATGAAATCTTCGATATGTTTATCTCTTCCAAAGGTGCGCTGGGAACCCCATGTTGTGCTGTGAACGTTAAGTCCCCAACTAAGATGAAAGAGTTTGGCAGTTGTCTTATGAGGTCGCTTAGTTCTGAGCTGAATAAGTTGTAGTTTGGAGGAATGTATATAAAACAAGTTTTCTGGAGGAATAACAAGTGATTCTGAGGTTTTCTTAAAGGCTTCTTTGTTAGTGTCTTTTGTTAAATCGGAAAGGTGAAAATTCTGACGTTGAACTTGTTCTGGGTTTCTTTTTTGGTTTCTTAATGTCTCTACTAGATGGAGGCATGATGTTGTCTTAGGACGGATTTGCGACCGAGATGTTATCGGGAACATGCGCACTTGTACTCTCGATTTAGGAGTGGCCACGATGTATGGGCGTTTTAGTCATTATGGAATTATTTAGTTCTGAAGCAGATATATGTGGTAATGTTGCGGGTTGTATAGAAGACTGTGGTGGTGAGGGATCTGTTATCTGGGTTGTTATTAACGGCTGAGGCTGGGATGTTAAAAATATTATGTTTTCATAACAGTTATGTATTTAGCGTCATCTACTGCCTTGTCGTAATCGAACAATTTTAGATTTTCATTGGCATGCAATACTATGGCTTGATCCCTCTTTGGAAAGGTTGATCGAGAAGTTGATTTGATTGCAGTTGCATATGAGGAAGTTGAAGCAGAATTATGCTGAATATTTGGTGACATCTTAAAAAGTTGTGAACTGTGAGGATCTGATGTGAGAACTGTATTTGTTATCGGTACCCTTGTAGTCAAAGGTAGACGAAAATTTAATTATTTGTTAAATTTAGTTATGTTTTATGTATTTTCTTCCAAAAATACATATTAGGTAGGCCTAAGCCACTGGAAGCTGGCCCAGTTTTTGAAGAAATTATTAATTTGCTAATTAACTAATCGCTCAAAAAAAAACATGCAATTAGGCTTATCAATACAAGACGAGTTGATACATACAATCTTTCCGCCTCTTTCTCTCTGCAACTTTGAATTGTCGAGTGTTGGACGCCGATGAGTTCGAATTAGCGGGTCGTTTTGTTATTATGGCAATGATTTTTTTTGCTCGAATTACCAAGTGCATAAAAATATATTCACTTCGTTCGAAATATAAAGAGATTTTGTACGAACTCTAGATAACTTTGAATTATAGAGGTTCGAATTATCGCAGGTTTGAATTAACGCGAGTCGACTTTATTTTGTAAATATTTATAAACAGTATCTCTTCGTGTGACATCAAACTTGTATAATACAATACAAATCTCAGTTTATTTAATAAATTACAACATATATTACCTGATTACGACATTCAGCTTCAACATGAGCCAATTTCGCCTGGGCTAATTCTAATTCTAACTCTCGTATCCTCTCTTCTTCACTGGCGTTTTCGTTACTACTAGTCGTCTTATCTATACTCGATTTTTCTAAATGCTCTGAACAACTTTCACAATTCGATACCTTAGTCTAAAAATAACAAATCGATATATCAATATTATTTGATTCAGATGTATGCCAATTTCGTTTTTGTTTAGAAAATTGCGAGGGAATAGTTGAGACAAATTGAATAGTTCTTATTATACTTCGCAGATGGCACTACTATGAACAAAATTACTGTTTGCCTATGTTGACATACATTTTGCGAAAATAAATACCAAACAATTAAAATGTATATAGACATAGACGGAAAGAGACAGTGATACTCCGGAGTATATGCATCAACAGACGATTCCCCGAGAGTAGAAAAAGAAAATTTCACGGTACAACTTCAACACCAAATAGAGCTAATCAAGAAGAACGTGGAGATAATTGTAACAGGAGACCTTAACGGCATAACCGGAAGGAAAGAAAACGATAAAATAGTGAGTAGATTTGGAGAGGATGAACAAAACAAGATAGACTACTTAATAGCCAAACAAGATACTATACTCAAGATAAAGGATGTGAGAGTCAAAAGAGTAGAATGTGGAACTGACCATAAACTACTGACAACAAAAATGGGCATTAGTTGGAAACATAACAAGAAACCCTCTACAGAAAAACCGTTGAACACTATAAGAGAAAAACAATACAATATAAATCTACTCCAAGCAAGAACAATCAATAAGAAAGCTATACAAACAACGTCTAAACCAAAAATTAATAGAATTCAGATACGGCAACATCAAAGAAATATACGAGCATATAAAGGCAACTATAAAGCAAGCAGTATTCGAAGCCCTTGGAGAGAAAGAACATATATAACAAATAAACAGCACTATTATGAAATAAATGAACCAACAAAAAGAATAATTGAAGAAAAAAAGCAACTATACAGAAAATGGCTGACTACAAACAACGATGAAGTTTATAAAGAAAAAGATAGAGAAGTGAAAAAAACAAATAACACAACAAAAGAATGAAGAATGGGAAAGAGCCTGGTTAAATACTGACAGGACTGAAACAAAACTCAAAAGAAAAAAATAAATTGGGAAATATACAGGACAAAGAAGAGAAGGGCTATTACAAGGAACTGTTAACAGAACAAAGACCACAATTCATTGGAAAAGAAAACAGGCGAAAACGAAGCAGATCCCCATAACAAGAAAAACGCATCGGGACCTGGAGGCATCTCACCTGAGCTCAAAGAGTACGGCTCAAAAAAATTAAACCCGATGATAAAATGGATATTTCAGAAAGCCATAAATGGAGAACAGCTCCCAAAGGAATGGACGGAGGCATATATGACATCTATATTTAAGAAAGGAGATAGAAAACGATGCGAAAACTACAGAGCAATAAGCGTAATATCATCAATAGGAAGATTATATGGGAAGATACTGCGAGAATAGATAGAGCAAGCGATAAAAGGCAAAATCGGGGAGGATCAGGCAGGCTTCACGGCAGGAAGATCATGCATAGACCACATATACACACTGGAACAACTGTTGGAAAAGAAAAAAGCAAAAAATAGAGGTTAACATTTGGCATTTGTGGACCTGAGAAAGGTGTATGACTCTGTACCAAGGTCAGAACTATAAGAGGCAATGTACAAATTAGAAATACAGACGGAACTCATAAAAGCTACAAAAGCTCCGTATAAAGAAAATAAAGTGTCCATTAAAATGGGATCAAGAATCATGGGAGACTTCACCACAACAAAAGGGCTCGTGCAGGGTTGTTTCACATCTCCAACCCTATTCAAAATATACTTAGAGAAAGCCTTGACTACATGGAAAAAGAAAATGCAAAGGCATGGGAGTATCGGTACGAGACGAATACCTATATACGCTAAGCTTTGCAGAGAATCCAAGTAGTGATTGCATAAGACCAAGAAGACCTCAGTTACATGATGAAGAAACTACAAGAAGAATATACCAAGGTTGGCCTAGATATTAATCTCGCGAAAACAGAGCACCTATCTAAAAGTGAGGAAGACACAGAAGATCTACAGAT